CAAGAAGGCTGGGTTCAGCTCAGGCCTGCGCTGACTTCTGGAATAGCCTCATAATGCTTTGTGCTGGCGCTGCTCTCATTTTCCTAGAAACTCAATCCAGTCTTTTCAAAGAGCACACTGGGGCTTGTTTGCTTTACAACCGCCGAGTGAGCCCCCAGGCCTAGCACCAAATATGCCCGCTCTTCTCTCATAGTTCAGTCCAGTCCCTAAGACATCACCCGTCTGTTCTTTTACGCACTCACTCCTTCACCAGCCCTGAGCACAGCAGTGAAATGGAGCACCCCCCTCCAGCTCCCTCAGTGGGCCTGCCCAGCGGGGTGGATTAGAGCTTAGGCTGCCAGTTGTCTCTGCCCTCTTAGGGGACAGGGACTAACCCCAGCGATGCCCCCACAAGCCGCGGCCTTGGCTGGGTGTTCATCGGCGAGGCCCCCTCCCGGCCCCCCTCTGAGGAGCACCGCCTGGTGGCCATTGGCGTGTCCCTGCAGCATGACGGAGCGTGTGTGTGCACACCTTGACCAGCCCACTCCCCTCCGCGCCTGCCCAGGGTGCCGTGTGGACGGGAGAGGCCGGCTTCGCCGCCCGGGATAGCCGGGTCTGGGGCCGTCTCCCCAGCCGTTCTGTTTTCCTCCCCGTCACCCTGTAGACCCTCCTCACTCTTTCTGTTCCTGTTCTGTTGCCGTTCCAACTCCTCCTCTTGGACCCTTTCTGTGCTTCCTGAAAGGTACCTGGCCTCTCCTCCCTCAGTGTGGCACCCCCTTCCTCCTCTGTGCCTTTGCCTTTCCCCCAAGCCTGACGAGGCAGGGCACCCTCCCGTGGTTCTGGGACAGAAACTCCCATCACTGTCTCTGCCACTCCTTGCTCTCTGAAGCCTTGACTCCCTTCTGCCCCGTGGACTGTGGCTCTGCCCACATGAGCTCCTGTTGACAGGAGGGGGCCAAGGGCACCCTGCTTGCACACGGGCCCCCAGCCTCCTCCCTGCGCGGCACCCGTGCCTTCCCAACCTCTGTCCACCCCCCGCCCCAGCTCTCGGCCTCCCGCAGCCTGCCTTCCACCCAAGGGGAGACTCTTGAAGGTCTTGGCCTAACTCAGAGGATCCCACCAAGCCTCAGGCAGCGCTCCTCTTTGTAGGGCACTGGATGGCCTGTTGATCCATTTCCTCAGCACTTCCAGGGTTCGAGATAGCTGAGAGGCCCAGCTGTCTGGGCCAGGGGCCTTTTGTAGTAAGCTCTCAGGACCCCAGCAAGGCCTATCAGAACACAGGCCGCTCGCTGGAGCTACGCTTCCTCTCCTTGCCCCCTCTGGGGAGTTCTTTGTGGGCCACGAATGAGCCAGCTTTCAAGGGACATGCCTGTCAGGAGGGAGGGTCTCCAGCCCCCAGGTAGCCCTGACTGTGTGCTCCCCCACCTCCAGGCTGAGACCGCCGCCAACCGGATCTGCAAGGTGCTGGCTGTCAATCAGGAGAATGAACACCTGATGGAAGATTATGAGAAGCTGGCCAGCGATGTAAGTGTCCTGCCACCCCCTAGAGGTCCTGCTAGAGCTCAAAACTCAGGTCAGCTCTTGGTTGTCCTTGGCCAAAGGCCACGTGCCACCTGCAGGGGGAGAGCAGGTACGGC